CCAATGCCAATTCGACGCTCTCGCTCTCTGCCTCTCTCTGGTTCTGGCTCTGGCTCTCGCTCTCTGGCGTCGGCTGCTCCTCTCTCTGCATTGCCTTTGCCTTTGCCTTCTCTTTCACTTTGTTTTGGCTGCCATTCGCTGGCGACTTCTTCTTGCCCTGTTTCTTGGTTGTCTTCGCCCGCTGTTCGCTATCGGAGGAGGAGCAGGCGGAGGTAGTCGAACAGCTGACGCTGCTCTCCTTGCTGCCACTGTATCCATTGGCATTGCATTTGCTGCTCTCCTTGCTCTCACTGCTGCCATTGCTTCCATTGCTCCCATTGCTTCGGTTGCTCCTATTGCTGCCATTGCATAGGCTGCTCTCCTTGCTCCCGTTGCTCTCACTGCTCTCCTTGCTCCCGTTGCACGACTTGTGCGCCTTGAGCTGTCGAGCCGCTGTCTTGCCATTGGCCAGCTTGGCCGGCTTGGAGGCAGCACAGTCGGATCCTGCGCTGGGTGAGCGTTCCAGGACCGCCTCCTCCGACTCGCCGCCGCTACTGGGCGTCCGGGACTGCCTGGGCCTGTCCGTGGGACCCACATTCAGGGAGCTCTTGCGGAAGTCCTTGTTGGGCCAGGGCCACTTGGCCAAGGAGCTGCCCGAGCTGCTGCTGCCGTTGCAGCTCTTGGTGGGTGACTCCGCCTTGGCGGGCACCGCCGGCGGCTTATTCACCAGATTCTCCACTGAGGATTGCCGTGAGTTCAGGCGAACTGCCTTAGGCGGCGATAGCTTGGACTTGCTTGAGGACTTGCTGCTAGCCAGGCTCACGGCTCCGTTGCTCTTGCTCTCCACGCTGGGGGAGCTGGACTTGGGGGAGCTGCTGGCTTGGGGACTGGCGCTGTAGCGCAGACTGCTAATGCGATCCCTGTGCGTGCTGTAGTTGGAGCTGATGGAGCTGCTGCCGCCGGCGCTGTAGCGCAGATAGCGTGTGGAGTCGTCCAGCCGATCCGACTGAATCTCCTTCTCCAGCGTTTGACGCTTCCTTGTGGATCGCTGAATGGTCTTCTCGATGGTCTTGGCTATGTCGATGCGTCGTGTGCGTTGTACGGTGGTGCTGCCTGGCGGTGTGGGCGAGGTGGCTCTGGTCACCACCAGCACAGAGACGAAGGTCTCTTCTGGCTCTTCCGCCTCCTGCTGCTCCTGTTCCTCCTTCTGCTGCTCTTTCGGCTGCCCCTCATTGGTGTTCAGCTCATCTTCTATTTCCTTCACATTTTCCGCCTTTGGCTGCTGCTGCTGCTGCTCCTCCACCTCCTTCTCCCTGCTCGCCTTGCGACTGGCGGTCCTCGCATGGAAGTCACTCGTGGTCAAATAGGAGATGGACTTGTCCAGCGCTCCATTCAGTCTCGTTCCACTCGGCGCATAGCGACTGTTGTAGCCATTCCTCGAGACGCTGCTCCGATAACCAGCTCCGCTTAGCTGTGGACTGGGATCTCGCGACTTGGACGTCGCTCGATTCGTGTGCTCCAGCGCCACAGGACTGGGATCCCGCGAGCGTCCATACTTGCTCAGCTTTGTGCTGGCTCCCGTGTACCGCTTGATGGGACTGCTGCGATCGCTGCTGGCGACTTCTGGCTTGCTGGGCTCCGTCTTGGCATAGCGACTCACGTAGCTGGTGACGGGCGTCGGGGCAGGAGGATCACGCTTGATGCGATATGTGCCGCCAGAGAACGACGGTCTGTAGGAGCTGGGCGTGGCCAGCGAACTGTAGCGCGATGTGGCACCCCCGCCCAAATCGGATCCCAGCGTATACTGCGAAATGGAAAGGAGAATTAGTTGGCTTGCCGAGAGAGAGAGAGAGAGAGAGAGAGAGAGAGAGAGAGTTTCGAACTTACTGCTGAGCTGGTCGGCTTGTATGAAGAACTGCCCAAGTTCGATTTCCAGGGCGCCTGTAATATATAGAGGAAATGATTGTATTAGAAATTTGGATATAGATGAATGTCGTATGGTAGTAAATAACGGCTCGAGATATATGAGTGAGTTAGCTTTTTAGTGACAGTGAGAAAGAGAGGCAGGTGAAGAAAGAGAGAAAGGGAGAGAAAAAAGGAAAAACATAAACGAAATTTAATGTAATTCCTAATGATATCTTGTATAGGTTGAGGCTTCATATATCATAGATGTAGAGACTTTCTAGCTTTCCACCATTTTCGAACTCCTTAGTTCCCATTTAAACCCATACTTCATCTAAGATATCATCCCACTCACTCAAAACGAAGTTGCTATAAATTTCCTATAATATTTACTCCACAGATCATTTCACTGCAACGAAAATACAAAGAGCAGAAAATCGAGCTGCAGCTCAGTTTGATTGATAGGCGCACTCAGATTTTCCACATGGAAGGCAATCGCTGCAAACTCGAGATGCGTTCGACAATTATTCGCCAGCTCATTTCATTATCTGCAACGGACTCTGACAGAGGGCGGCAGGCATCCCAGACACATCAACGCCATCAACTGGCCCCAGTCCCCCTCGATAGGGCAGAGCGGCGTTCCCCCATATGGCTTTTGGCTTGCTTTGAACTCGTTCGCATTTTCTTTTCAATTTCAATTTCAATTAAATGGCGCTGCGGCACGCATTTTATTCTATTTTCTCATTTCATTTCAATAAATTTCGACGTGTAAACAGATTCGTTTATCGAAATTTCAACATCTACGTGCATTAGAAAAACCCTTGCCTTTTACCCTCTCCCTCACTCTTTCTCTCTCTATATATCTCTCTCTCTCTCTTTGTCTCTTTGCATATCTCTTTCGATCTGGCAGACAGCGAATTCATATTGCGAAATCCATGTCAGCTTTTTATAGAAATTTGGCAAGCGAATCCCCAATTAATATTAATAGTACTTAGGTTCTAGATATGCCTGAGCTATTAAATGTCGAGGAATGTCGAGGGGAAAATGCTCGAATGAAAATTCCAAATTGGAAATCTGAGGGCAAATGAAGTCGCAGTTAAAGTGGCCATAAAAATCAACGATTTACCTGAATGCCACAGCGAATGCTCGACTCTGAATCGTGCATGAAATTCCAGTCTAGATGACTATTGGAATACCCCTACTCTAGTTCTACCTTACCCTCGCCCCTTTGCCTCCTCCTCTGTTAGAGCTCTGCTATGCCTCTGTTACCTCTCGCCCTCGCTCGACTGGCGCTTACGTTGTCCCTTTGCTATCCCGCTGTTACGGCTCCCGCTCTACCTGGCGCTAGGCTCTGCCTCTGTTACCCCTCTGTTGCCCCTCTGTTAGCTCCCCTTTGAGCGCTGGGCTGGCGCCTGCGTTGCCTACACAAATGACATGTGCCATAAAAAGTGCATATTTCTCCAGTGCCTAAGTACCGCCCGCCCAGCATGAGGTGGGCGTTGAGAGCAGGGGCGTGACAGGAGGGTGGGATAGTGAGGCATTTAATTGTTTTAGCTGCTGTTGTTGTTGTTGTTGTTGCTGTTAGCGAAATGGAATGCCAAACGCAAATAGCGCAACAATGTGCAAAGTAAACGAAGAAGTGGGAGAGGAGGAAGCTGGGGAGCAGGAGGCGGTAGAGGCGGCTGATTTTTGCCATGTGGCATGCCACAAAACAGAGAGTGCTGTCTCAGCCAGTCTCTTCCACTCTAAATCGATCTCTCTCTCTCCTGCTCTCACTCTCTCCTCGTCTCACTCTCTCTCATTTGACAGCGTTATTATGCGAACTCAATTAGGCGCTGCCCAGGCAGGATATAAAACGTCGGCCCTATCTGTCAGTCGGTAATGCCCATAAAGTCGAAGAGATCGAGCAAATGTGCATTTAGCGAAATGCAACAAAATGTGGCAGCAACTGCAGCAAATGCGGCCAACGAAATCAAATTACTTGAAGGCAAAAAATAAATTGAGAAAAAAAAAACAAAAACATTCGCGTGCCATCGCAGCAGACATATGATTTATTTTCTCTTCTGTTTCTCAAAATATTTTTAGTTTTGGTGTCAAAAATTTATACATATATATACGCGCGTATCTGATAGAAATGCATAGAGCATATATATATATGTATGTATGTATGTATGTATATACGCCTCAGATATATGTATATACGCAATCTGCTTGGATGCCAGCGGCATAGAAATTTTACAAAGTGCTATAAAAGTTGAATAAACGCAATCGCGAACAAGTAATAAAGCAAAAGTGCGAGCATGTGTGATAGCCTGGGAAATACCCTGTAAACGGAAATGAATGCGAGGAATGATTGATTAAGTTGATTCTTAATATGTAGAATTATTATATATATAAAGTTATTATAGAACAAGATAGAGAGAGACAGAGAGAGGAGAGACAGAAATGGGTAAAACAGGCAGGGTCTGCTTTGAAAGAGAGAGAGGCTGCAGGGGTACAGACATAGCAATGAATAAAGAAGTAAACGATATAGAAATATGTGTAAAGGAGAAAGAGGGAAGAGAGAATGAGAGATTAATGTAGAAGAGTTAAAATAGTGAAAGACCCAGGTATGTGAATCAATTAGGAAATATCATAAATGAAATATCATCTATCTATCCCAAACCCAGATATGAAAAAAAAAAAAAATAGAAAATTGAAATAGAAACATAGAGAGAAAATAATACAGAAAACCGGTAAATAAAATTGCACTTTCAAATTGGCCTACATAAATGATTATTGTCAACATATTTTAAGCCAACAGGTACTACTCATCCCCTGTTTGAGTGTCTGCCAAATAATCGTGTCTCTAAAAAATGCTTGGTTCCCTCGATTTTTTAGGTGACATTCCTCAACAAAAATTTCTTAGGTATTTTATATAAAATAAGGGAACTTAAAAATAAATAAAAACCTAAATATTTCCAAATAAAATACCATTTTCGATAAGCTGAACTCTAATAAGCTTAGTTAAATCTATATTAGCTCTCTAAAAAATAAGTAGTAAGTAATAGTAGTGTATTATAATACATAGATGACTGTAAAATTCCTGAATAAAATCAACTTAAAGAAACGATAGACAATTATTATCTGTTTAGGGTTTATTATTTGAAAAAGTAGTTGACAAAGTTGAATTTAAAGGAAAGTTGAGATACATTTGAGAGGAGTATGAATTAAGTATCCAAAAGCGAGATAGTAGAAAAGGGATGGAGTGAAAAATAGAGTGATTGGGATCGTATAAAATATATATGTAGCAAAAGGTACCCAGAACTATACGTACATATACATGCATATATACACACACATATATATATACGTATACATACATATTCATTCAGTGAATTAAAATTAAAATTCTTCTATATTGCACTCAGTTCTTTGGATTGTTTCAGTTATCGTCAGCATTGCAGTTCGTTCAGACATATATACCGTTATCTATATGCATACACACATATATATATGGATATAGATACAATTGAAATATATATATACACATATATATATAGATGCAGTCGTGTCTAGTATATAAGTGAGCTAAGTTTAAGCGATGTCGTTGTTGTTGTTGTTCATGGTGATTGTTGTTGTTGCTGTTGTTGTTGACAAGAAACCGAATACAAGCGAACAGCAATTTGAATGTTTGCCAAATCATTGATATCAAAACTAGGCAGATTTCTCGTGTGACGACGGCTGCGACAACTTCGTTACGGATAGCTTGGGCGCCTGGGAGTTGAGCGGCATGATCAGGCCCAGGTTGCGTGTCTCCGGCACAAAGGGATCCCAGATGGGCGGCCGCGATGGATACTTGTCCATGGCATCGCGCATGCCTCGCATGCCCAGCTCCAGGGCGCAGTTGGCCGAGCTGCGGCCGGCCGGCTGCTGGGTGAACGGGCCATTGAAGTGGACGTAGATGTCGCCCTGGCTGGCCAGGTCCAGGCCATACGTGGTCAGATCCTCGCCGGTGACCATCTGGATGGCATTGGCAGTGCTGCTGCGCGAGGCACGCAAATTGGCCACGAGGCCGCCCAAGCCGAAGATGTCCGGCTGCAATGTGCGCGTCGTTCCGTTCAGCTGGCTGGCCGGTGCCGGAACCGCAGCCGGAGCGGAATCCGCCTCCTGCTGCTCCTGCTGCTGCTGCTGTTGCTGTTGCTGCTGTTGCTGCTGCCCTGTTGCCTGCCTCTGCTCGGCATCGGGCAGCAGCGCTGGCCCATTCTCCTGATACATCACATCCGAGTGCTGGCCAAAGATGTCCGTGAACGTGGGCAACGGCGGCAGCTGATTGTGCAGCTCCGGGAATAGGCGATACTCCCAGTCGTTGGGCGACACACTGACCGGCACATCATGCGTCTCGGTGGGCATATCCACATCGTCGCTCTTGCTCTCGATCTGCTCCTCCTGACTGGCCTCGCTGTCGCCGGCTGGATCCTCGTGCAGCGCTAACAACGGTTTCACCTTGCAACGGGGTCGTCGTCGTCTGGGCATATTGTGTACTAAAAACCGACTTTCAAATAGACTTGAGAAACAATTGTTAACTGTCGCCCAGCCTCCCCCCATACACATGCCTACGCCCGGGGCAGCAGATATCAGATGTATAATGTATATATATATGTATATATATATAATATATTCAGATATATGCATATGCATATATTCACACTTTGGCTTATCAATTAGGTGGCCAATGCGCCACCCACTTGCCGCAATCCACTTTCCGCTTGATGGGGCACGCGTTCGCATTTACAGCTTCCTTCGGGCCATAAAAGTCGCACTGCAGCTGGACAGTTGACGACGACTCCTCAACGCACAAACGACACGACAATAATAAAAAACGAATTTTTTTCCCTTTTTCGAGCATTTTTCGAAACGAAACTGTCTAAAAATAAACAGCCTCCAGTATTTCGACTCCGACTCGGTAAACTTGTCGGTGCCCCATCAATCGAAACACAGTTGTCGGGGCGCAATCTTTAATTGATTTATGGCTCAGGAGCTTAGCCAGCATCAAAAGGTCACATAAAGTCGTGAACAAAGACATTTAAGACTACAGAAGCTGATGCGATAATAGGAGGCTGCTTCAAATGGATTGAAAGTGTGAAAAGAGGCGCATAAACTGGAGCCATAGAAGTGGAGAGCGTGGAATACCAAGTTCTAGTAGTTGATTGTAGTGGTACATGTTTATATAGATCTAGCTATTGATACATGATTGCATATTGCATGAGATAGGGTATAGTGCTATCGATCTGTTTACTTGTTATGTATCGATTTTATCTGTGATATCAAATACAATTAGTATCGATTATTATCAGTGATGTAAAATAGAATTGTTATCGATTGTCATCTGTGATATCAAGCAGGCTTATTATTGATTTTTATATGTGATAAAAATTTTTGTCTCCAAAGCTCATTTTTCTCTCTTTCGTCCCTTGCCATAATCGCAGGCAATGGAGAAAGAGAGAGGGGATGAGAGAGAGAGAAAAAGAGAGTAAAATTCAGAATTATCCAACTCGTGTACCATATTTGAAAAAGTAAATTCATATGCTAGATAGGTCTGTAGTCTTCTCTCACCTTAGTCTCCCATAAAATGCCTTTGCTAATCTTAAACATTATGAAAATCTAACCAAATACTGTTCTAAGCAGCTGGCAGTCATTATATTATGCAATAAGTAAACACAGCAAAAATAAGATCAAATAAATACAAAAAATACCAAGTTGCTTTTAATTCTGTATTCAATAAACAATATCCAATATCTAAAATCTACACAGCTCCCTCTACAAGTCTCATCAAATCTAACAAACATCAATCATAAATCACTGGAATATCTCTAAATGATATACAATTACAATTCATGTTTTCGATACATCGAAACATTTTCAAATAATTTTCCCAAGCAATTTTCCATGATTCGTTGAGTAAAGGAAAACAGAACAGAAAATATCAATTACCAATAAAAGAAAAAAAAAAAAAAAAAACAGCTATGCAAAAAGTTGTGCGGGCTGGGGGGAGAGGGAATTGTTTATCATGGAACTGGGCCATTAACACGCCCCAACGCAAAGCAGCAACAACAACTAAAGGCAACAACAACAAAAGTTGGCGAAAACAAAAGTTGCCCAAAGGAAAAACTAAATTTTTGTTGCGGATACAATTAGGCGAGTGTTTGGCCATACGTATACGTAATATGCCAGCAAATGTGTGTGTGTGTGTGTGTGGGAGTGTTGGTGTGAGTGTGTGGGTGTGCTGGTGTGTGCGACGCAAAAACTAGATACTAAATACATGAGCTGCTGCAACAATTAGAAACAAACAAAATTGCAAAGCAACAGATACAGATGCAGATACACAGATACAGATACACAGATACAGATACAAATTGACTTACATAACTGCGATAGGATGACATGCTGATTACGTTATTTTGGCATCTGCCGCTGCTGGCAGCAATTGCGTTTGCTTTTCAATTCCTTCGATTCTTTTTTATTCAACGTTTCGTTTTCTCTGCCTTTGTTTATTCAGCGATTCATGACATTTAACACAGCTCGATAGATTTGCATAGATATTTGTATCTATACATATATATTTATATATATTTTCTTTTTGTTTGATTGTGCACACTTACACTCACTCACACACACACACAGGCGCGCGCGCGATAAATTAACTGCCGTTTGACAATTAGTGCTGGCCTCGCAATTGCCAGAGATGCAAAATAAACTCGATCAATTTACTGCGGGCTAAGCATTGTGTCGGCTGCATTTTCGCAGGCACTGTGAGCAAGCGTATTACACTTTACATAATCCGCCGGCACGCAGCAGCATCGGTGGCAGCTAAAGGAGAGCGTGTGGCAGCCATGCCCTAGGAGCAGCATTGACTGCAGCCGGCAGAGGCAGTGGCAGGAGGCAGAGACGTCAGCTGAGGCAGCGGCGCAACACGGCGAAATGCAACGCACGTCACGGGCTCGTTTTATTTATGCGCTGATATATATTCTGTGGCGCGGAGTCGCTTCGATTTCCCTTTCTTTTTTTTTTTTTTTAATACAAATTTAACTTTTTTGTTTTGTGTTTTTTTTTTTTCTCTCGATTATTTTTAAATTTAGCAAAAAACGCAGCACAGAAATTGTCGCGCGTTTGCGTTAAATTCGTGTGCGACTCGGCGCGTTGTCAAAGGAAAACTGTTGTGGAAAATCTTGCGCTGAGATTTTTAGCCCGACAACAAAAATTTCTGTGTGTTTTTCTTCTTTTGTGTTTGAGTTGTGCGTGTGTGTATTTTGGTATCGAGAGATCGCCCATTGCCCTCTCGCGCTCAGGCAGTCCTCTCTCCCTCTCTCTCTCTCTCTCTCTCTGTCTCTCTCTTAGTTGCGTTTGTAAATTGCAATAATGAAACAAATAAATACAAATTTCAGTGGTTGTTGTTGTTGCTGTTGTTGTTGTATATAGCCACGCGTAGATCTGGCAAAAAAAAAAAATTCACAAAATTCGTACGTAATGAGGTTCGTCTTTCGACATCTGTTAGAGTTTATTTAGTTGCAAACGATTTCTGAAATCGAATTGAAAGTACAAATTTTGCCTTAATTTTCGATTCTGATTAGCATCGAAATATGCCTTAAAATAGAATAAAATAAATATTTTGGGCTTTAATAAATTTTATTCTAAATATGATTTTGGGTATATTTAAAATTGTGAGTAATCATATGAGTGGGCGAGAGTGAATAAGAAATACATATATATATATATATATATATATATATATATATATATATATATATATATATATATATATATATATATATATATATATTTATATTTAAATATGTATATATTACATATTTATATTTATTTATATATTACATATTTATATTTATTTATATATAGAGAGAGCATGAGGCACAATAATTTACTGGAAGATCTTGATTAGATATATGATATTTGTTTATATGTTTATGCCATCGCATTTGGCCTCGTTAATATAGGTTGTATTCGGGATTTAAGCAGGGAAACTTTTGAACTATGAACAAAAATCTTAATCATAAGAAATAATAGAAAAATTCATGTTTATTTTTGGGATATTAATTTGAGCCGAATTAAGATCCCGACTATGATATAATCTATATACTTTATTTTAACAGAATTTTTTGCTACTTCGTCAGATGCCTCAACTTTTTGTATTGTCAGGCTACAGACAAAACATTTGAGGCTTGTTTATTCAGTTATAATTCAGTACTTAATTTTAAAAAAAAAAAAATCAGGTCCTTCCTTAAAAGCTGCATTAATACTAAGTATTCAAGCTCTAAAAGTAGCCTGAAATTAGATAAATTCTAAGAGTATTCAGTATTAATTCAGTATTTAATTTAAATAAATGTCAAGTTCTTCTTTTATTTAATTAGTTCAACCAAGCCAAAGACCCCAGCAGCTGACGCTGTAGCTCTACTTAGTATTTATTTTAATTATAGTTAATAATTATAGAAAAAATAAAAAGTAAAAAAATCTTAATCATTAACTATTTCCCTTAGTTAGCTTTCAGTTAAACTATATTGTCTAAGGCTCTAAGGCATCAGGCGACTAAGATTTGATCTGTAACGAGGCAAATAATATATATATTTTATTTATAATATAATTACTGCCAAGTGTTATCAATATAGGTGATAAACTAAACCCATTAAGTATTAGATAGAACTGTAACTTAAGCCGCCTTTGACCAACTGCCTGAAACTAAAGCTCAATTCAAGCTATTGCAATACCAGACTTATAGACTTTCTCCGAGTATGCTGCTGCTAATTACACAGTCTCTCTATATACATTAGTTCTCATAAGTCAGTTCTATGCTCCTACAATTCCCATTATAAACTCTTGCCTCCATCAACAACTCTGCTTCATAAGCGCATACTTGCTCGTATATTTGGTATGTGTGTATATATGTGTTTGTAGATCTGCCTATCCACTCACAGCGCCCTCCCCCTCTAGAGCAAGTGTCATTAATTTATTACACATATTTGCTGTGAATATACACGTATGTATATCGTATGTATATCGTGCATATGATATGAGCAACAAGTACATACGGACAGACATCCATGCATATACTAGAATCGCATCTCTCTGCACTGATATTTTGTTCTTCATTTAAAAATAACGAACTGTGTGCCACTTTTGCCGGCCACACACACACACACACACACATACGCATAGAGACAGAGATATATATTGAATGGGGCACCGGAAGCATGCGGCTAGCTGAGATGACGTCCATTCAAAAATTTAGCTATTCGGTATATCTGAAACAAAAGATTGCCGTTTGGCCTGCACATGGCGAACGGCTCGAACGTGCGAGTATTTGGCTTTTTGTTATATACATATTAAATATATATATTTTAGTGGGCATTTAAATACTAAATATCTAAATATGTGCCAAAAACGAGTGTAAGCAAATGCTGCCCGGCCTGCACATAAATCAGAGAACGCCGCGACAAAGACGCCAAATTGCCTGAGAAAAGTCGAAGAAGAGTTGAGCTGAGGCAGCGTCAGGCCCAGCGGCCATCAATAGCTAATAGCCAGCCAGTGGAAAGGGTAGCCAGTAAATGGGCTGGGGGCGGGGCAAAGTGGCTCGACACTTTGATGAAAGACATGCAGTGGTTGCAATGGATGCTGACGCCGGGGCTGCGGAAACTTAACCTAATCTGACCGACAGATACAAATAGCTTTCAGCGCTGCAGTCAACAGAAAAAAAAAAAACAAGAAAAAAAAAGGCGCGTGCATTTTGCATGCTTTCCACAAATATTTTTTAACAGTGCGTGAGAGACGCCAACAACAACAACAACAACAACAAATGCAACGCCAACGCAGCCCCAGAAATAAATGCAAACAAATCGAAAAATTGAGCAGGAAAAAAAATACAGAAAGA